ATATTCTCTTCCGTCTGCATACAAACACATTTAGCTAAATTACCCGGATGTTTATCTCTTTGTCCAGTTTTAAACACGGTGTGTGTGTGTGTGTGTGTGTGTGTGTGTGTTTTCTGTTGTCTGTTGTCTGTGTAAGAGAATAAACTGTAAACACGGTGTGTGTGTGTGTGTGTGTGTGTGTGTGTGTGTGTGTGTGTGTAAGAGAATAAGCTGTAAACACGGTGTGTGTGTGTGTGTGTGTGTGTGTGTGTGTGTGTGTGTGAGAGAATAAACTGTAAACACGGTGTGTGTGTGTGTGTGTGTGTGTGTGTGTGTCTGTGTGTAAGAGAATAAACTGTAAACACGGTGTGTGTGTGTGTGTGTGTGTGTGTGTGTGTCTGTGTGTAAGAGAATAAACTGTAAACACGGTGTGTGTGTGTGTGTGTGTGTGTGTGTAAGCTGTTATTAGTTACTTTAACGGGCTGTAAAGTTTAAAACGCGTCAATGAGCTCATTAAAAACACAGTTAGCATTAGCACTGCTAACGCGCTTAGCTCGGCCACTTCATTACGAGACGTGAACACCGACGTAAAAACACGTTTTATACACGTTAGGTGGCCTGAAGTCGTCGTATTACACGATAAATATAACATAGATGTCAAACCATTGCCTAGAAGTTGTCATTAAGTGTGAATGTTGCGGTAAATTAAAACGGTTTACCTGCTACTTGTAGCATAACAAACATCGGTCATTAGCTTTGGTTTCCGTGTGAACCGCCGATGGACCCCGTCAAAGGCTTCCCCCAAATATGCCTGATGGAAATTAACTTTTAATAAAATAACATGTTTTAAATGTTTTCTATCCGTATCCATACCTATACTTTGATATTAACGTTATATTGTTATAATATATTTTTTTATTTGTGTGCTTTACAATTACGTCACATTGACAGGCAGTAGTTGAGGCGACTGCTAATTAACATAACGTATTGTTATTGTTTTGTTTTTAAATGTTTCTGTTATTTTTCTTATTTGTGCGTTGAATAAAACTGCAACGACATCATTCAATCAGATAAATGAGAGGGCGACAGTATTTATAAATTGGTAAAATAAAGAAGTACGTTTTCTAACACTAGGGGTGAAAAACAAAGACCAGCATTTTATTTTTAATGAAGAGGAAATTTAATTTAAGAGGGTCGTGTATGTTCAAAACATATTAGTGATTGATGAGTGTAACTTGTGTGATAGGAAATGTAATAATAAAGTTATTCGTACTATCCTGAAATCTATGTTCCATGATTACCACAGAGAGCTGCAGACTAAGGTCACAGAGTTCATTGAGCTTTCTGACTAAAGCACATTCCAAATATATTAAGATTTCTGTTTTCCCTAAAGTGAAAGAAACCCATTTTAAATGTTTAAAATTTCTCAAAAACAGGTTAAATTTAGATGTGAACCCTTCAGTGCTTTCTGTGGTAACACTGAAGAAACTTCAGAGCTTGTTTGGATTCTGTCTCAAAGATTTTGGGTCAACATTAGAAGTTGGTTGTCGCTAAACATTAATAATATTCCATCTTTTGATACTTATAGTATTCTCTATTTTATGGATAATTTAAACCCTTCAATTACTGACATGGTAAATGTTATTTTACTGAGTTAATATCATATTCACTGTAGTAAGTGGAGAAACAGAAAACCCTCCTTTGACCGATTTATAAATGATTTCAAATATTTTTTCTTATCCCTGAAAAAAATGAAATCTAGAAAGATTAGTGCTGATTTACCAAAATTCTTGTTGTTTTGATTTTTGGCCCTTGTTGAATTTTTTTTGTCCTCCAGTTTGTTGTCTGCTTACATTTGCCTGATGTTTTCTTTTGGAAAAGTTAGATTTTTATTTATTTATTTTGATATATAATCCCCTATAGTCTTGATTTATGTTTGAATTAACTTGTTTCTGTGTTTTTTGCGGTTGTATGTTCATCCTCTTTAAGAGTTTGTATAAACATTTTTTGTACATGTTAAATTTGTCAATAAAGACGGTTTAAAAAATAAAAAATAAAAAAATGTTCAAAACAAAGTGAGAACCAATGTAAAATACAGATGTCATGTGGAACAGTTTTAGTGATGTGTTCAAATTGTGTAGTTCTCTCTGGAGTTTTAAAAAACACAACTTATGATGTAAACTTTTGTTTGATAACGGTGTAAAATTATTGAGAATTTAGGAATAATTAAGAGTATATCTGGATTTGTTATTTTCTATGTTTTGTATTGCTGATGTTCTGCGTTATATGGAGGAGAGAGCCTTTTACTCTGCTGCCCGACGACTCTGAAATGCTCCACCTGACCACCAGAGGGCGCCACAGACTCTGGACTCCTTTAAACCTTACTCTTAAGTTTAAGTTGTTCTATGCCCATGATTTTAACTCTGCCTGATTTTAGTTGTTGCTTTTATTCCACAGTTGAAGCACTTTGAGAGGTTTAATTACCACATGCAGAAAGTCTTGTATCAGGAATAAAAAGACAGAGGCAACATGTTAACACAAGAAACATTTTTAATCATTCACAGAAAATTCTCATCAGAAAACAAGAAATTAGAGGTCTCTCATATATTCATCTTATTATTCAAACTGAAGAGCTCTTAAAAATGTCTGTTAAATAAACAGGAGCGTCTTAAATAAACTCACAATAAATATTTGAATAAAGACATCGAGTAACTCTTCACTTTATAGGCTGTCATTTCCTTTTTTTCATTTTACTGGAAAGAACTATTTAAATTAGTGTGTCAAAGGTTTGATAATAAATTAGCCAATCAGACAAGAGAGAGAGTTCCTATTATCACAATAATAAATCTACAAAATAAACCTCTGCGTGAAAGGATAAAGGAAATGACAGACCTATAAATAATAATAAGGTAAAGCTTTACTTTACGGGTCCTTCATCTTTAAATAATCTCATTATTTACAAAAAGTCTCCAGGAAAGAGTTTGACATTTGGTGCTCAGCAAAAGGAAAATAGACGAAGATATTCTAATTAATTTAAATTATTTCATAGTGCGAACAAAAAGTCTTTCAGTCAGATAACGTGCTGACATTTCAAAACCACAACTAGAGCCTGACCGATTCATTTGCAAGCCGATATTCGCATATCCAGTGACTATCGGTATCATCTAAATTTATAGCAGCTATTCGATGTTACTAGAGTTATTCACCAGTCAAATAGCGTTTCATTTGAGTTTCATTGTATGAAACTAGTAGTTCCCTGTCACCAGCAGAGGGCGCTATATGGCTCACAACAAGCATTACCACTCTCCAGTGTCAAGCAGCAATCTGTGGACAATAAATATCGTGTTTGATAACTGCATCTGAGGGAAAACAGAATACATGTGTACATCTATATCTACAGATTGAGGATAGATCTGAAAAAATATCGGCTGATATATCAGTATTGGAGTTTTTTTTAATTTTTTTAAATCGGGATCGGCCCAAAATTCTCATATCGGTCGGGCTCTAATTACGACTGTGTATAAAATCTGTATCAAAATTCCTATTTTTCCTTCAAAATGTGTCACATGACAAAAATCTTTCCAGGAGATGTAATAAGAAATGTCGGACCCATAAAACAAAGAAAAAAGAAGAAAAGCGTTACCGATTGATGTGACAAGACGTAAAGGAACAATCTATCTTTTTTGTGTATTTTTACCCAAACACCCAAAGAATCCCGTCGTCCTGTTTACTAAAGACAAATAAAACTGATTATCCCAAGAACGCTGACTGTTAAACTAATTATTCTCACAGCGAGGTTAAAGTGTCACTCAAAGGATTAGTCTGATGTTCCTTATTTTTACTGTCAAACAGAAACAATGAAAAGAAACCAAAACCAACAAGTCCTGTCACCAGACTGGTACAACCACGCCTTCATCTGTATAGTGGAGATCTGAACATATAGCCAATCTGTCTCTTCCTTCTCTGGACCACAGGGGCTCGTTGTAGATTAAAAACTAATCATTGAGCCCCAGCGCTGCATTAAAGGTCATGTTATGCAAAAACTTCACTATGTTTCCATAGACTGTCTACAAACCCCCCACTGATGAGAAAAGTCCATCCTCTCCATCTTTTGTCTGCTCCACTTTTCAGAAAATGTGTGCTCCAACAAGCCGTTTGGAGATGTTCCCTTCATGACATCACAAAGGGCAGTAGCCCCTCCCCCAGGTGGGTCACACTCCCGCATCTAGGTGTTTGTTCTGCCCTCTGAGTCTGCCTTCTCACACAGAAACAGCCTGTAAACAGAGGGGTTTACAGGCATGATAAATAGTTTTAAGATTTATTTAAAGTTGCTGAAATGGAGAATAATGTCTGACCTTTAAAGACTAATCTGCTCTTACAACCCCCCAGAAATAACCCACTTTTTCCTGTTTTGCTTCAATTTGTAGTTAATCAGCATTTTTTTTAGGTAATAAGACGGTGAACTGAGAAAAAGGCACAATAATCAGTTTAAGATGATTAAAACGCCTTTTTTTTTTAAGATGTTTTCACAAACGCACTCCTGAAAGTATCTAGATAAATGCTCCGATCACAGGGAATAAATGTCACCACCACCCACTCCCACTTGCTCAAGGGGTTGTTTTCTGCTGCGTTCTTGAGGGGGGCTGACAGGAGAAGCGATGGGTAAAGTCAGAGTTTTTTTTGCATGTGTGAACGCCCTATTAGTCTCTGTGTAGAAAATAAAAATGTGTTCAGAGTGAAAGAAAAAAAAGATTAAGAACATTTTGCTAGATGCACTAACGAATTGTTGGTTTTGGTTTTTTCCACGAGCTCTGTTAACAATAAGAACAAAAAACAGACTAATGCCAACCTATCCAGCTTTTTCAAACAGAAAGAACCAAACTAAGATAAATATATATTATGTGCCTGTCGACTGAAGAAGAGAAACTCAAACTGAACTTTAAGTTGTTGATGGTTTCTTGTCGCTCTGTGTTTTGTTTTTTTAAGAACTGCACAGAGAACCGGAGTCTGAGCGGAGATAATTAATCTTAATATTCAGAGAACCTTTATTAATTTATTTATTAATCATCCATCTGCTAAATGAAAGACGAGGTGCAGACTGGATGTCTCAGCTGAGGTAGGTGAGGACAGGTGGAGGTGGAGGACAGGTGGTGTCTCTCAGCTGATGTAGGTGAGGATGACAGACTGGATGGGCAGCCTGCAGACGGGACACAGCTTGTTCCTCTTCATCAGCTTCCTCGCGCAGACGTAGCAGGACATGAGGTGCCCGGTCCGGCCGTGCACGATGCAGCCGTTCTTAGGCCGGGACTGACAGATGAGACACGGGTCGAGACACGAGTCCGGCAGGCGCCACTCCGCCGAGACGCTGCGGTCCAGATCGGGGACGCCGGGCGGAGGTTGAGTGGGAGTGGAGGGGGACAGCGGGAGAAGCTCCTGGGAGTCGACGGAGGAGCTGGGCTGCGAGTCGGAGCTCCAGAGCTTCTGCTGCGAGGAAGACGAGGAAGGCTGCGAGCACGAGGAGAGGAAATCCTGCGAGTTCGGGGCAGAGGAGGCGGAGTCAGACAAGCACAGGGACAGGATGGTGGGAGTTTTTGCTCTTTTCCCATCTGGGACGTCCACTCCTTCAGGTTCCTCCGCATCAGAACCTTAAAAGAGACACAAAGACGGTTAGAACCAGTGCTTTTGTTTCTACTCCATTTTCATTTCCTTCGTTGTAAATTTCCACCAATAGCACGACGGGAATTAACCTCGAAAGTAATATTCTAAAAAGTGACCCTGCAAGATACAGAGTCTTTTTAAATCACCTGAATATCATCCCTCACACACACACTGAACTGAACTGAAACCTACCCAGTGCTTCTTTGGCAGCTGATTGGTCAGCTGGCTTTAGGGGGAGGGCTTTGGGGCTGAAGCAGGCCGACTTTAATGCGTCTTTAGGGAGCCAGTCTTGCTGCAGAGTCCAGCAGCGGAGACAGTGTCTGGGCAGAGGAGGGTTCAGCTCCTCGCACTCCGCACAGCGCCAGTAATCCTGATAGCAAACACACACACACACACACACAGAGTTAGACCACCACGAGAAATGTTTTGTTTTCTGTGTTGTGTAAATGTTTGTTGACACTCACAGCCTCGGTGATCTCTGTGTCTTCATCGAAGGAGTCTTCTTCCTCTTCCTCAAAGATGGTGACCTCGTACACCTGCAGACATGTTTGAAGAAGAGATGCACTCATTGCAAGTTCTTCGGTTTCCGATTTCCGATTCTCACCTCGACTGACTGATACCGACTTCTGACCGATACTTTCATGCTTATAAACAAAAACTGACTGTTCAGTAACTGTTAATTACAGATCTGTATAATCCCTTTATTTTTATTCTATTATGTATGGTGGCTGTGTCGTTAGCGGCTGGGGCATGTTAGGTTGTTGTGTGTGTGTGTGTGTGTGTGTGTGTGTGTGTGTGTGTGTGTGTGTGAATCTGAGATTGGCACAAAATCTGCTACACTTGTGAGGACCGGCCGGCTCTAAACCGGTCACATGCTGATCTATCGTTGCATCTCTAGTTTGAGTTATTCTAGGTTTGATTTCTCTGTTTACCTGGTCGTCTGCAGACAGAGAAGCGTCATCTTCATTGTAGTCGTCGGAGTCGACGGACTCGACCTCGAACTCCACGCTGAAGTTGTCTGAGTCGGAGTCTGAGGCTGCAACCGTGACCTCTGACCTCGCAGACTAAAAACACAACACACACACAGAGTACAGATTACAAACCTCATACTCTTCACACCTGCAGCAAAAGATCAACGTTTGATACAGACTTCATCGCTGTGATCACATTTCTAACAACGTGTTTATAAAACTCACCGTGCTGTGCGCGTCTGACGATTGGCTGCTGTGTCTGTCCCGCCCACTCCCGAGTCCACCAATCACACACCAGGACAGGCTCTCGTCAAAGGTCAAGGAGTAGCTGTCGGACCGCCTCCTCTTCCTGCCTCCTTCGTCCTCTTCTTCCTGCGTCTCTTCTGCATCTTCATTGTCCTCTAAACTGTGGGAGGGGCCTGAGGGGCCTGAGGAGACCAAGGGGGGCGGAGTTTAGGTCTCGGTGTTATCACAGATTGTTTGTTACTGCACCTCGATGTGGTGGGAGAGACTCACCGGGATCGCTGCTCCTGCCGCTCCTCCTCCTCCTCCGTCCTCTCCTTCTGTCCGGTGATGAAGAGCGGCTTTCTGAGTCCGCCTCCTGAAAGAACAAACGGAAATTGAGTCTCCCGTTCTGAATGTAGCTCAGGCTGTAGTCCTCCTCGCAGTGGTTGTGGGTTCGAATCCACACACACACGCACGCACACGCACACACACACACGCGCGCGCGCGCACACACACACACACCTCACCTCTGTCCCTCTCTCCGGCTCACTGTTACTTTGGGATTCACTCAAGCTTTGTGAAGACTCTGACAGACAGAAATAAAACATTTAGGAGGATAAAGAGGAAGCTACAAACACAGAGGTTGTTTCTTTTAGCACCACAGTCAGATTTGAAAAAAGAGAAGAGGAAACGGATGAAGAAGCTGAGACGATGTGTACGACATAGAAAGTGAAGTTGAAGACGTTTTGATCTACCTTGACTCTTGACGGCCACCAGATTCTTTGTGATCAACGCGAACAGAACTCTGGAAAATAAAACAAGTTTCAGTTCCACAATACACTAAATATATCCCCCCTCTCTCTCCTCCTAACATTTCCTGTCTCTCTTCAGCGGTCATATCCACTAAAGGCAAAAATTCAGCAACAACCCGAAGCTCACCGTGTTTCTTTAACTGAGAAGCTGTCGACCCCCAACACCTGCCCCAGTGCATCCTGGGAGCAGTGGACGATGTGTTGCTGCTTCTGGTCGTACAGCTGCTTCTGGATGATGTACTGACCGAGGTAGAACATCACCTGCAGGGAGATCAACAACATGATGCATCATGGGAAAAAAAACACAAACAGCAGACTAAACCATGTAGAGGTTTTTTTTTTTTTTTTTAATTGACGACTTTTTTAAATGTTTCCTTCTTCATCGGTTTTCAGGAGTTTTCTGCATGTGTGAAAGCTCTAATGCTTAAAGAACTGAATTAAACTGTACAGGAAACTGCATTTTTTCACATTTTCTCAGTTTCTGAAAATCGAATCATTAAAAACATTAGGTGGCCGTGAGAGTCGAAAGACTTGTTGTACCTCCTTCATGGTGAAAACATCTTTAGTCGCTCCTGCAAGCTGCAGCAACGTTTGGAACTCTACCTTTGGTCTGACCTGGAAACACAAACGGGCAGAAAGATGGTCAGACAGACGGTTTGAGTTTTTACACTCCAAACATGTGACAAAAGATAAAGAAGGACATAAAAAAAAACAGACAGAATGCAAAAAAAAACCAACTTGTGGGACACTAAACTATTTAAGTGACAAACGTTTTAAATCAAACCGCCTCTGCATCTGTTCAGCTAGCTTCCTGTCTAGTTTCAGGTTTTTATCACGCTGATGAACAGCCAGTAAAAGAAGTCAGTAAGACGGCGCTCTCACCAGTTTGTTGTCGTCAGCAGTGTTGGTGTTGAGCTCTCTCTCAGCTGACATGTTGAGGCTGATGCTTCCTGGAAACACACACACACACACACACACACACACACACACACACACACACACACACACACTGGATGAGCGTGTATATTTAGCATATAGTTCCACAAAGAAGACCATTTAAAGCACGAGTGGGTTTGCATAAGTTACAGATACAAATGTGCCATTGACGATTATGAGCTGCTGTATTCAGAACGTTTTGCTACTTGAGGTTAAAATCATTTCAATGTTTAGATGCCCACAAAGTTTCTCCCCCCACATTTTGATTCATCAGACTTTAGTTTCTCTAGCTGCCTGATCCAGATCTTTGAATCTGTAACCAAAATCAACAGTACAGGAAATGTAGAAACAAGTTTTGTTTTGTTTTTGAGCTCAGACAGAAGGAGAGATGTAGCAGGTGTAGCTGACAACAGATGGACAAAGTGTCAAAAACATCAGAAGAAACCGAACAAAAACCAGACCTACATCAGAACCCAAACATCATCAGAACCCGACACAATAACTCATTATAAGTAACTTCTCAGCAGAGACAGTTACCTGTTACATGAATCCTACACAAAGCAGAATTACACTCGTATTTTTTCAAACATAAAAACCAAATGATCCAACATTTAACTTTTCTTAACTCTGAATTGATTTCTAAACTCCTCCTAAAAGCTTCTTACTCTTTAGACAATAAGTCTCCACATTACTCACTCTGTCAGTCTGCCAGTAGAAGCAGGAGAGGAAGCTCAGAGCAGGTTTATTACCGTTGGAACAGCTGCTGATAGGAACTACACTGATAACAGCTGCAACACCGAACCAAAACAGAGAATGCAAAACAGTTGACTGAAAAGACTGAAACAGTCAGAGAGCTGTGGTGAGCTGCAGGGGGGGGGGGGGGGACATGTTTCTGAGCATCTTTTACTTTTAACTTGAATAAGAAGAACATCAGATTCCCCACTCTTGGGGAAGTGCATCACGCACTGTCATAGTGTAATTTCCTCTGTAATATGAAGCTCAGGGAAAGTCACAGAGTGTTCTTTCAAACCCCCTACGTGTTGCATTCAGGGACATTTTTCTCCTCAAGGCCGTCTTTGATGAGTTTGGCTGAACGTCTTCTTTCACATCAAGTCAGGACAAAAAGTGTGAAGCTTTACAGTTTACAGTTTTCAGCAGATTAAACCCCCTGAAACCCTCAACGTCTACAACAACCAGGGGCCTAATTAACAGTCATCGTCTTAGTGCACATACTTATTCATTAAAACACATCTAACACTCTCTATCTGAAGTAACATCTTAATCCAAAACAACTCCAGCTGATTCAAAAGTCAGCAGATAAAGTTTTAACACACATAACCAAATTTGAACATATAACCCCCGTCCTATAATCACCCACCCCATCGCCCAACGTACAATAACAATAATTATGCTGCCTTCCATTGTACTCTAAACTCTGGGAAAAAACGACCTCAGACTCTGAAGAAATGCAAAGGAACGGCCATTCAGGTTGGAATTCCAAATCAGAAACTCAGGTAGGATCCATGTAGACCGAGGCGCACGTCACAGCAATATGGCCGTGCACACAGTAACAAGTAAGCAGAATGACCTGTTTGCTATTTTTTTTTTAACTCAGATCGGAGAAACCGACGAGGAATTCTCGACTTTCCGACTTGCAATCGAACGCATCATTAGTCCATAAATCTCTCAACGGTTCAGCTCCAGACTAAAACCCCACCAGGGTCATCAGGTCAACATCAGGTGAAGGTCTGTCCGACTGTGGTCTCTCTCTCAGGATCAAACTACCTGCTGAGCAAAGGTCCATTGACTCCACTTTTACAGCTAAACTCAAAACCTTTCTATCCTCCCAGGCGTACCAATAGTTACTCTGTGTGTTTAGATCTGCAATGTCCTCCAAAATAGCCATGAATTAAAAGCAATAGTTACAGCTTCAACTACTCTGAAGCTCATGTTGTTAATGTGAAGTATCATTGCGTACATGAGGGCTATAAATCAAATTAGAACATTTAATTACAACTATTTTTGGATGTAGTGTTGACTGGATGGCATTGTGTAAAGCTTTCCTTTGCAAAATCCGGTGCACATAATTGATTGGAGGGGACTTAAGTCTGAAAAATGTCTTGACAAGTCTTATGACATGTAGGATTCTCAACCCTGATAACTTATAAAATGCCAAATGCTGATAATACATGATTAAATGTTCAGCATGATTTACTGCATTCCAATATACATGTCAAACTACACATTTTAAACCACACATTTTCACAGAATCACAAACACTGTCAGGTCATAATTTGATTTTAAATCCACCTCCAAGAGTTATTGAGTCCATCCTGATCATGTACAGCTACTAAAAGTGCAAAGAGTGATAAAATAAATGTCTTACCTTTATAAATATATATTTATATGTGGAGTAAACTGTCTCAGCAGTCCATCCTGTGCAAGAAAAAGAAGCAGATAAAGTGCAGTCAGAGTGGAGTGAAGGGAAGCTGCAGCCTCTTATAGACCTGCTCAGACATGTCAGGACTAGACCAGCCTAAAGAGGGCCTGGGTTAGCCTGGCTGGGGCCTATCAGGGCCTAACAGGGCCACTCAGGGCTGAGTCAGCAGCAGACTTGTTTGTTTGTATATTTTTCTGTTCACACTGACTGTAACAGCTGATTGAATCACACTCACACTCACACACACACACACACACACAGCTCTGTGTGTAGACATGCCGAGACTAGTCCAGAGTGACTAGTGGCTAAAAAATGAGCTAACCAGGGTTAGGATGACTAACTAACCAGGGGTAAGCATGGTGAGTCATGGAGGGTTTTGAGATGAGGATATTTCCACAGCAGGAATGGAGAAAGATTCTGGACTTTGGGCGGCCCCATAAATTATATTTAGTCCCACCCAAAATTATATTTTATTTGTTGTCTTTTCTAAAACACGGCTTGAAAAAAAGATTCCAGACTAACCAGGAATTATTTTAAGAAATTAGAGAAGCTGTAGTGAAACAAAAGGAGAGAGGAATTTCAGATTGATCCCATCATTTGAGTTTAGGGTCACTGTGTCACTGTGTTTTTAGTGATTTCCTCATGTCGATGTGGGGGGCCGTCGGTGCAGCAGAGGAACTCACTTACAGCAGAGTAACCTGAGGTGAATGTTGTGGTTGTAACCTTGACAGCAGGATCAGTGTTTAACACCAGCTGATTGTCAGTAAAACGTGAAATAAACCATTGAGGAAAACAAGATACAAAACAGCCAATTAGTAAAAAAGTGTGAAGTGAAAAAAGGGACGATAAGGCGATGTGGTTATTTCTTAAGTTTAATATCAAAAGTGGGACGGATGTTACGATATCTCACTAACTAACTAAGAGCCCCCTGGAGGCAGAATTTCCATATGTGCGTTTCCTTGGCAACGACAAATATGTTGTGTCTGTCATGGCTGCGACAAGACGCGTCACTTAATTAACAACTGTAAAATGAAGGATTTCTCCGGCTTTAAAAACTGTTGGAAATATTTGAGTCAATTTTTTAATTAATTTAGATATTTTGGTGTAGAAATTCTACATATAACACCTCAAATAATAAAATGGTATTGTTTTAGTTACAAGTTGCAGAATTCAGAAAAACAAAAAAAAAAAAGTACTTTTTTACAATTTTACAACTAATAAAATCAACACATTTTTAAATAACAGTAAAGGGAAAGCTCAAAAGCAGGATGTTTGGAGCTAATGTTGACGTCAAACTCTTCTTATAATAATCACAGTGACTCAGCAAAAAAAGGGAACTTTAAAAAAAAAAAAAAAACTTGGTTGAGACATGTCCAGGTTTAACCCCCCGCTGCTCAGCCTGCTCTGACCCTCTGCAGAGTGAATATGTCGGGGCACATTTCTGTACCTGTACATTAAACGTGACACACACACACACACACACACACACACACACACACACACACACACACACACACACACACACACACACACACACACACACACACACACACACACACACACACACACACACACACACACACACACACACACACACACACACACACACACACACACACGGTGAGTCAGCTGTTGCTTCTGTGGAAGATTCATCATTGCGTCACTACAAGCGGTTGAAAATATGCCTGGACATGTCCCGCTCTACTCCACACTCTCTCTCTCTCTCTCCCGCTCTACTCTCTCTCTCTCTCTCTCTCTCTCTCTCTCTCTCTCTCTACTCCTCTCTCTCTCTCTCTCTCTCTCTCTCTCTACTCCTCTCTCTCTCTCTCTCTCTCTCTCTCGCTCTGTACTCCACTCTCTCTCTCTCTCTCTCTCTCGCAATTACTCCTCTCTCTCTCTCTCTCTCTCGCTGTACTCCTCTCTCTCTCTCTCTCTCTCTCTCTCGCTCTGTACTCCACTCTCTCTCTCTCTCTCTCTCTCTCTCTCTCTCTCGCTCTGTACTCCTCTCTCTCCTCTCTCTCTACTCCACACTCTCTCTCTCTCTCTCTCTCTAAGTTTCTGTTTCAACAAGGCTGATTAAAGGAAAACTACGGTCCACCTCTCACCATCTCAAGACTTCATCAGTTATAATGTACAAAAGAAGAAGATTAAAGAGCAGAAACTTCAGTACAAACAGCTGGCGGGCTTAAAAAAAAATAAGTAAAATTTAAATTTCACCTCACTTTCATAATATTTATGCTCCTTCAATTTTGCCTTATGCTTTTATGCGGCAGCCTTATATATCTCTTATTGTTAAAGATTACTTGTAAAGCTGTTATAAACACTTTCAACACGAGTAAGCATGCTTAAACACAGTTTACAAACCTGAAGTTATATTTTTATATCATTAACAAATCACCCTCCTTAAAAAGATTTAAAACTACATATTTTCAACATATGTACCCTCTCCTTAAAATCTAAACCTCCACCAAAAGAGAAAAATTCAACACAAAAATATGTATTAATGTATTTAATAATTGTCATTTTTATCCTCCCAGATAGCTAAAACCTCCTGTTTTTATTTTTTTTCCTGTATTTTAATATTAATATTTGTTGCACATTCATGTTATTTCTATTTTTTATTTCATGCATTTTGTGATATTTTAATGTTATTTAGGTAAAGGCCTCTTCCTGCACTGAATATTGTCGATTTCATTATTTGTGCAAATAAATATATATTTATTAATTATTTAATCAAATAAATGACACTTTTTTTTACTTATTTAATTGAATTTTGAGTTAATATAAATGGTAAAAAAAAATAAAAAAAAATAAAAGATTCCAAAAAGTTAAATAAGTTACCACGCTAACTTTAACCATAACATCACACTTGAGCAGAAATGATCTCACCTGAATAAAATTAATGTTTAAGACGACTTAACAAACAAAATGAAGAAGCCATGAAGTCAACTTTCTGCACTACTTTATAAAACGTTTTGCTAGTTTGCGAACAGCGGCCGCGTCGCAGCGCCACTCTCCGTCAACTCAACCAGGAAAACACGAGGCTCTGCGGCCTGCTAGCATAATGCTAACCCACCTGCCAACGTGTGCGTCTGTTATTGTTACAGCACCAATTCCTGGTTATAATACAATATGAGAATTTATAACCTACCTGTCAGGTATTCTTAAATAAATATTATCCCGGTGTAATGTTTAATCCGCCAGTTCGCCCGGTAGTTTAACTACTGGCATTATTTAGCTTCCAGTCCAGTCGATATGTTTACGGTTGTTGCTTCATTCGAGTGTTCGTGGTGCGGGCGCCCCTGGTGGCCAAACACTGACACTGCAACCACACTTATTAATATATTCATAATAATTATTCATTTTCGTTGTTTGTGCTTTAATCTAATAAAGAAATACAAATCTCCCGTTAATGTTTTATTTTCTCTAATTGCTCTTACATGTGTTATTATTTGTATGTTCTCATTTAGTAATGCTTTATAATTTATTTACCTATTTACCTTTTTTTATTTGTTTCTCTCTTTTAGTTGCTTACATCATCTTAAATCTTAGTTTCTCTCAGTCTCAACTCTTGTTGTTTTTTGTTGTTGTGGTTAATTTGGTGTTGTTTATATTCTGCTGTCGGGCTTCAGTCTGAAACTTTCCCCATCACATTGCAGCCCTACACTAAACTACCCACAAATATTTACACGTTTTCATTTATTAATGTATTAGAAATCTCAATTCCTTTAACTTATTTTTCCCCTATCTAATCCACTGTAGCAGCATGAAGTGATATTTATTTGCCTGAGAAATCCATTTAGTAATCAAAACAAACATCTACTTACCTACTACAAAATATCACTCTTTAAAATATTTCACTGCATACGAGGGGGAAAATCAAATCGGCTGATTGGCAACAACAAAAGCTCTGCAGTGAATTTAGTTTAAGGACAAGTTTGAAATGAACAAACACCAAAAGAGTACAGGAAAAACTAACTTTTATTTTGCATTAAAGACACAATAAGAAAAGGAAAAGAGCACAAAGATTCAAACACTGCTCTGTGAGTGTGTGAGTGTGTGTGTGTGTGTGTGTGTGGTTATTCTTGTGTTCAGGGCTGTAACTCGTAGCCCAGAGGGTCGAGACCTCGGTCCAACAGAGCGAGCGACGACTCCCTCAACTTCTGCAGAAACCTCCTCAGCTCCTCTTTAGAGAAAACCTGAAGTTTGGGGACGGAAAGATGAAACAGATCAAGACCTGATCATGATCGAAGAACTCTCAGACCATAAACTTTTATCAAAGAGGAAAACCTCGAAGAACAGGGTCCTTTTTTATTAAACTGCTAACACTAAAAAGTCTGGAAGAATTCAAGTTAAAAATATTTTTTTTGTCTCTGTTTTGGTTACCTGATAGAGTCGGTGCTGGTCGGATGAGATGATGTCAGCGAGCCGCAGCGCCTC